GTCACGTGATCGGGATTTACCGCCTAGTTGGAATGGGCAAGTAGAGGCGGTACATGGAGGGGATCCCACGGGGACGACAGGGAGGAAGTGGGGGTAGATAGCGATTCATCCCTTCTACCGTCACTGAAAGCTCCTCATATCGGATAATCCGGTGGAAACGAGGGAAGCGATCGCCGCTATGAGGGAGGGAGGCGAGGTAGTCGCGATAGAAGGAGGAGAGGGTGCGGAGGAGCGCCGCTCGAAAGAATTCGTAGTGGCGACAGGCGGGGATTGTCCCCGTGGCTACGCAGTAGACTTCTACCACGTTGCATTGCTCCCATGCAGCGCTGAACAACAGGATATGCCAGCAGAAGGTGGGGGCAGCGGGCTAAAGGGATGGGTGGGGGTAGACGGTTGCAAGTAGGCGGGAAGAGTAGAAGTCGCGGAAGAGATGGGGACACCTGCTCCGTCCACTCTCGAAGCGAAGTCAAGATCACGACATGCCACCATGGATTGAGCAAACTGATGTCGCCACTGAAAGACGCAACCGTGGTGACGTGGCTCGTCCCGGGAGCCGATCGCCGATGAACTGCTATTACCTCCCTCAGTACCACTGCCTGTGAGTTCCCTTCGAATCGGAACGCGGCGGCGGCACACACACCCACGTCGCAAAAGAACTGCGCCAATCGCCGAAGATCCGTATTAAGCCATGGATGACGAACTTGCCGAATTTTTGAGATATGGCCACGTGGCTGCAACAACTGTTCGTCAAGAGCCCGCTCCGTGATGAAACTCATGGCGAGGTCGAAGAGGAGGAGGAAGGGCAGGAGGGAGAGAGCGGAGAGAGAGTTAGATCGTCGTCGTTTTCCTCGCTTTCCGAGGAAGAAGAAGGAGGAAGATCAGAGGGAGGAAGAGGACGAAGGTAGGAGGTATGCTGGACGATGGGGACTGAGCTATGGCTGGCACTAGCCTCAGGCACGATGCGCACCGTGTTGGCGCCGTTAGGACCGAGTTCGACCACGCGAAAGCAGCCAGAGAATTTGGGAGCGAGTTTCTGGTCGCGTGCACATTTACGTACCTGCACTAGGTCCCCTAATTTATATTGATGCTGGGGCCCAACATTTCCATTCCGGGCCTCGTAGCTACGGACCTGCCTACGGTGAGCCAGGTCGGTCATCCTTTGCCTTTTTCGGGCCAGCTTCGGGACGGCCCGCTCCATTAATTCGGTGTACCTTTTGGCCTTGGCCTTGAGGGCTGTACGCGTGTCTCTACCCCCTGCTTCGACAATTTCCAAGTTACCCCGGTAGTCGACACAGGGGAGGCTATTAGTATGAAGTTGAAAGGGGGTAAACCCCGTGGATTCGTGAGGGGTGGCCCGGTGGATCCCGATGATCTGATATACGATCTCGAGCCACGGACGCGTGTCGTGTGCCGCTAAATTCCGGCGAAGGGTGGTTTTAATCATACGGTTGGCGTTCTCAGCCAACCCGTTCGACTGGGACACATGGGGTGCCGTATGTCGGAGCGTGACGCCCCTTCGTGCGAGCAGCTCCTCTACTTCTCCCTTAAATTCGGACCCATTGTCGGTTAAAATTTCTTCCGTATCTAGATGAGTATAGAGGAACCGATCGATGTACGTGGCTATTTTTGCGGCCTTACGGGTCCTACAGGGATAGACCTCGATGTACTTGGAAAAATGGTCAATTAATACTAAAAGGATAGAATATTCATAGCGGTTTGGGTCAGGTGGCACGTCGATATCTGTTGTGTCCATACTAACTCGTTGGAAGGGACGCTCTACTTCCGTTGGTACTATCGTGTTTGGTCCCCGTATTGGGGCGCGATCAGCGGCACAGACCAGACAGTTGGCGACAATGTATCTGACATCATCTCATATGTTGGACCAGAACCATCGGTTCTGGTCTATAGTTGCCTCCGTGACACGTATCGCGAAATTAGCGGCTTGTTCTTCGTGAGCCGATCGGATCCAATCATATCTCTGGAATGGATGGGGAACCGTCAACCACGAACCCGATCCGTCAGTTTTACGCTTCTCCAAATGACCGTTGATCCACCGATAGTCCTGAGATCTCTCGGTTGCCCTACGTCTGTCGTGTTTGGTGAGGTGACCCAATGATAATCCCGTTAATTTTGCCAATAAAATTTTATCCGTCCAAACCTCCGCTCGTCGGTATTTTCGTCGTATTCGGGGTCGTCTGTACGGGCGGCCTCGAATCGAACCTCCGTGGGGAGTTTGTTTGTTCTACACAGGGGGCATCTCCATTCCTTGCTACTAGTCCGATATCGAACGCAGGCCCCGTGCGCACGATTGACACACGTGGCACATTCTACCCAATCGACAAACCCAGTTTCGAAAGGATGACAGTCGACCCCATAAACCCGTGCAATACACGTACAAAACTAGCAGAATTTATCGGGGAGGGTAGCAAAGAAAGCTGAGGAAGTGAGAGGGGCAGAATTAGTAGGAGAGAAAGGGGTTGCAGAGACAGGTGGGGTAGTCATGATGACAGAGGAGGAGAGATGGGACCGAATTGAGGAGAGGTTAGAATCAGTCAAATTGATCCTCGTGTCACTTACTGCTTGGACAAGATCTCCACTTGGTCGTACCGAGGTCCAACCTCCTGTTCGGGTTCGTTCCACGGAATCACCTCCTCACTCTTTGGAACTTTCTCAGGCCGGTGCAGTCGTGTCAGTCCGTCCGCATTCCCGTGTCTCTCGTGCTGCCGATGACGGATGTCAAAGTCCATGCCCTGCAGCACCGTTGCCCATCGTCCGATCATGCCAGAGTAATCCTTCGATTTCTTCAGAGCCAACAGGGGCTCATAATCGGTTACCAAGGTAAACTTTCGCCCGTACAGGTAAGCGCGAAAGTGACTGATTCCCCAAAGAGTCACGTAGCATTCTCCCGTCGGAGCGGCGTAGTTGCGCTTGCAGGCGGGCACCGATTTGGACGCATACTCCACCACGCTCTCGAGTCCACTTGGTCCCACTTGGGCAAGGATAGCCAAAATTGCCTCCCGCTGCCAGTCAGTGATGAGAACAAAAGGCTTTTCGGGATCCGCTCTTATAAGGACCGCAGCCGAAATGAGAGCGGCCTTGAGTTTCGAGAACGCTTGATCACACTCCGACGTCCAGAACAACGGCTGATCTTTGCGCAGCAGATTCGTGAGAGGTCCCGCGATCGCCGCGAAGCCCTTGATAAATCTTCGGTAGTACGAGGCCAGGCCCAAAAAGGCGCGAACTTGCATGATAGTCGTAGGCACCGACGCATCTCTGACAGTTGCCACCTTCTGCGGCTCCGGTTGGAGCCCCTTGTTTGTTACCACATGTCCCAAAAAGGAAATGGTGGTAAGAAAAAACTAACACTTCTCAAGCGCCACCTTGACACCCGCATCTCGTAACGCATGCACAACCCACTCGATGTGTTGTACGTGTCCCTCGTAGGAACTCGAGTACACCAGAATGTCATCCATGTACACAATCACGCAGTAGTTGATGATGCTCTGCGCCAAACGAGTCTTTCGCACGAAATTATGAAAAGTCATATTCATGGCTCGCTTAAAGGTCGCGGGGGCGTTGCAGATACCCATCGGACATCAAATCCATTGCCACGTACCTTCAAAAAGCACAAACGCCGTTTTCAGACGATCTTCTTCTCGGACAAGAAGATGATGGAACCCATGGCGAACATCAATCCGGGGGAGGGGGTACACATCTTTGATCGTGATATCATTCAATTTTCGATAATCAATACAAATGCGAATCCC